CTCTCTCCCTGTCCTACTGCCCATATCTGAAAGGTGTAAACACCAAGTAGGCAGAAAAAAAATTAAGTATATGACTAATGCAGTCAAATGAAATAAACATGGGAAATGCATGGTTTGATATGGGAGCAGTTTCCTGAATCTGTGGAACATTCTTCTCTCTTAGCAGTTGAGTGTAAGGACCATCATTGGGGCAGAGAGCAATGCAGTCTGCTATTCACAATGGGGGGGGGGACAGGACTTGAAAGGCAATTATTTTTAGCTACTGCATTGTGTCTCAAAATCACATAAACAGTGAATGTCCTGCCAGCCTCAGCCGTGTTTCATCTAAATGCACTTCTGTGGACAAACACAGCATAGATTCCTCTAGATCACTGGCCTGGTGCCCTCCAGGCATTTTGGACTACAATTCTGACCATCCTTGACCATTAGTCATGATGCCCAAAGCTGATGGGAGATGTAGTTCAGAACAATCCTCCAGGTAACAGAGGATTCTCTCTACTAACACAAATAAGGATGAATTTAGGGCTGATTTGGACTTTACATATGCAAAGAAGAGCTGTGTGATGCTGATTTTCCTTCACCTCTCTGCTATTACTCTCCACAGGTTCAGGAACACTTTAAAAATAACACATGACACCAACATCAAGACATTTATGACATGGTTTAGATGCAATCGTAAGTGGGTGGGAATCGAGCCATGAGAAAACTTGTTAAATTATAGTGTGATCTGGAAAGCTGCAACCTGCAGCAAACATGCACATTGTAATTCATGCAGTTTGTATAAACAGGCCAAAGGCAAAACCAAAGTTGATACAACAACTATGACATATGTACTCCAGTTAGTTAATTTGACATCAAGCAGATCAAAAATAATGAAAAAGACTGAGTAAAATATAATGACTTGGATCCTTAGATGCATAAGGAGAAGGACGTTCACATTTTTTAACAAAAGTTTGCTCTCCCCTTGTCCCCTCTGCAGCTGCTGGTAACCCTGAAAGGCATTTCTGGAGGAACAGGGACCCTTCTGAACAATATGGGATAAGGAAGGGGCATTTAGGAGGGGTGAAGAGCCCCAAATAGGCAAGTGTCAATCACCACCTCCAACTACAGCATCCTCTACCTCATCCTACATGATTCAGGAGGGCCTCTCAACCCTCAGAGGGTGAATGTAGGCAGCTGTAGGAAAGAAAAAGAACGGCAAACTTCCATGCTGCAAATTTCCTCCCATTTGTTTATCTTACAATTCAAGTCAATGATTCAAAAACTCACTTAGCATGTTCTCTGCTTTGACATATACAGCAAATATATTTTTAACATTAACATTTCTACAACCATGGGCACTTTTCAAAAACAAAAAAAAGCTATTACAATGTGATTCTCATATTCTCAACATGGGGTCTCCAAAGTAATGTCAGTGGGCACCAGAGCACTCTCAGCCACACATACCCTTGACCCTCAGACCTCCTGCCACCGCCATTAAGCTTTTAAAATTGATAGGTTTGGGGAACTTTTTGAGTTGAATGATTGACAGGTTGACTATTTAGGAGGGTTCCTACTTATTTGCTTGTGTTTCATTTGGGTGGGGGGGATTCTGAGAATTGGGCATTTTTGTGGTACCCATGGTAGTTTATTAGATTTCTAAATGGGCTTCCAGGTCAAAAATGTTGGGGACCCCAGGTCTGAACTATGCAAAAAGTGCCGGGGGGGGGAATGTTCTGGTTTTGCCATTTTAAATGTGCAACTTCAGTTCAGAAGCTCCTTCCAAATGAAGCAGCTCTGATAAACACACAGAAGTTCCTGCAGTGGCTTTCTCTGCCAAGATCATCCCCTAGTGACGTATCTAACAGACAGAACAAAACAAAAATGTCTGCTTGCTTCTAATGCAACCAAATCAGCCTTGACTTCATAGTTTATACACACTTTGCTGATTGCAAGCGGGTCCTTTTCGCACTGGTTAAGGCAAAATGTGTCACCAGATATTAAATGTCTGAGCATTAAGGGATTCTATTCCTCCTGTGTGTACATTATCCAAAACAAGTAGAGGGAAGTGGGAGAGACAAGACTGGACGCAGCTGTTTACAAACAACTACTGAAACCTGCTGAAAAACAACAATAAATAAATAAAAGATGGAGCAATCCATATACAGAAACTGCAAGAGATAAGATAAAGTGTGCAGTGATATCTTCCTGTGCTTTTTATTATAACTATCACCACTGTAATAATAATAATCATCATCATCGTAAAACTATTTTTCTAAGTGTTCAAAAAGAAAGAAGAGGAACAACTACATTGCGACATGAAAATGAAGTAAACATGCACAGCTGCCAGATTTTCATGCACACAACATGCACATTTCTTCACAGCCATACCAAACTAACTCCAGTTTTTCTCCACGAAACAACCCTCTCCTTTTTTATAGTTTGTTGTAGGTATGTATGCTAATATCTAATAAAGGAAGTGGTTTTGGAAAATATAATGGAACGAATAAGCAGTTCTTGTCTTTTATAGGTATGTTGCTCTTCCACAGATATCAAATTGCCTTATAAAAATTCATGAACCAAACACCACACCAAGACAGCAAATGCAGCACCATCATAATTATTTTGTTTTCTGTACATAGTGAGTCAACCAAAAAGGTATTGACAGGGCTGAGAATGCTATCATCATCTGTGGATGCATAATCTGTGGAAATGCTGCAGAAGCCTACATTTTCTTCTGACCATAATTCTAAGCCTTAAATCTTGAACAAGATAAGAAGACCCAAGTGAATGGGTCATGGTTGAATGGACAGTGTAAGGCCTTAAGGCCTTATTGGCCTTTCCCTTTGGTTCCAGAAATACTGCTTACTAAGGTGGTCCATTTGGATGACACCCAACATCACACCAACAGACATGACTTCCCCTTCTTCTCCTTCCCTCCTATAGCTCCCCAACACCGTTAGCATAAGCAGGACACTCCAACTGGATATCAATTATTAGATTTGCCACACAAATACTTCTTGAGTGTCAAGGCATCCTTCCATAATGTTTTTATTTAGTCCAGACAATTATTTGATCTCACAGTGTGGATAGAGAAATATACAAATTATCTTCTCCTATGAATTTCTTTTCCTAGTTGCATATCCTTGTTCCTCCCCAGCCTCTTTTAAGTTCACACTGAGGGCCACATAAGTTTACAACACTTTAGAGTCCAACAACGACCCGTGAGTAGAACGGAAAATTGGACTAAGAAATTCCTTTTAATTTGGCACTGAAGCGGGAAGGTCTAAACAGGAAGTCAGCCTTCCGCTTTTTGTAGAAAGATCAAAGCAAAGACATGGCAAGCTAGAGTTTAGAAAATCGTTTGTAAAGGATCAACTTTCATCATTTAAAATTACTGAACCCCCTTTGGAAGCAGGAGGAGAGGGGGGATTTTTTCTGGACCGTTTAAACCTGCAGAAGAGAGGTTAAAGAAAAGTAATTTTCCACCTTCTTGAACCTGGAAGCGGGGTGTCAGGACAGACGCTTTTGGGAAGTTCATTGACTATAGACAAACGTTTTTGACAGATAGTTAAAAGAAGAGAAACATAGTGATTCCATTGTTCTCCTTCGCAGCTAAAAGGAACAAAATATTGACAAAATATCTGAAAAAGGAAACTTTGTTGTTAGATCTGCTAAAAAAAAAAAGAGAGAGAGATGGATACAAATAGAAGTTCTTCCCCTAGAGGGAGCTTGTGAAACTGTTATTAATTTGAACTGGGGAGTTTTGCAGCTGCAATAGATTAAGATCGTGGGATTAGACTTTGACCTTGCACAACAATGTACTCGGAGGCTCTGGTGCGTGCTTTCTGCAAAACAAGTGCTTTATTGGAACAGTTACATGAGAAGACGGATTTGATGACTGATGCGATCAGAAATTTTGGACAGGTAGTGGGTATCTATATAGAACCCACTCAGGAATTAATTCAGGAGTGTGCTCTGACAGATCAGATGAGGGAGGAGGTTGTGGCTGGACCTCGGGAGGCAGAGATGGAGGGAACTGTGGCCCAGCAGGAACATGAGTTGTTGGATCTGATGAATGAACCTGGAAAAAGCCAGATTTGGAGAGATAGAGTCTTGTTCGGTTTGGAGATGGGGGGCTGGATAGACCCCCCTATGCAGGGATGTTTTGAATTTTCAAATCTGGCGTTGGGCCGGAAGGAGTTTGGACTTGTGGGGGTCCTCAACCTTGGAGGGACTTTGAAACATGCTTTTAAATACCACATGGAGCTCAGTGTGGACTATAGAAAAGGGGCTGATCTGTCGAGAAGGGACAAAAATATTGTCAAGCTGGAGTCTCCACGAGTGAAAGGAGCAGAAGACAAAGTAAAGTACAGGTATAAATATGAAGAAGATCTGCGGAAGGGACATGGAAGAGACTTAAGGGCCTCGGACATAAGGTTACCAGGTTAATGAACTAGATGGATGGGATAGAAAGGACTGACAAAACCCGAGACCAGGAGGAAGAGACGCTGGATGAAGATTGGAAGAAAGTTTTAAAAATTTTATTTAGGAATGTTTTGTAAAATTAATGAGTATTAGAAAAATGTTGGAACGAAATTATTTGTCTTTAGCAGAAATGTTAAAAAGAACTATGTAAGAATATGCTATGGCTATGAGAAATTGGTATAAATAAGATTTAAGTTTTAAGTTCTAGGGTTTTTTATGGTAAGATAAGGTTAAAATAGATTAAGGTAATTTAATGACAGAATATTATGAAAAATGGAAAGGATTTGCTGAGACAATTAACAACTAGAACACAAAAAAGGGAGGTGTGAGGAGATCGATGAAATAAGGTAATGACAGTTAAGGATTTGAGAATACTGGATTTGTTTTTAAAAAAATTTTTTGTTTAATTCTGCTTTTTGATTTTGATGTATTATGTGTTTTGCCTTTGCTTTTTGATTTTGACTTTTATCGATTTGTATTGTTTAATTGTTATCTGTTCTCTTTTTTTCTTCTTTTCTTCCTTGTTTGTCTTTGTAATCTTAAAACTTTCAATAAATATCATTTAAAAAAAAAATAAGTTTACAACACTTTAAAATAACCAGACTAACTCAGTAACTTTTCATTTAAATCAAAAGCAAGATTCGAGCCTGATGTCAGATATGCAAAATGTTTTTTCCTAATAATATTTAATAAAAATATGTCTGAAACTATATTCTGGTAAAACTCCATTCAAAGCTGCAATCTAATGGTAAACACCACTGGAATACCAAGTAGTCTGGTTTCAAGTCAACCCCTTTATGCTACTGCATGGACATTATAATATAAGAGAACATCAAAATGGTAGAACAGTATAGGCACAAACATATTGATATAGCATTTCTTCTTCTTGCTCACTGATACTCTTTGCTAACTGAAAAAGCAACACATGGAAGATAAATGAACAATGCTGTGTTTTGAAGCATTTGTAAAATGACCTCTTAAATTACAAAGCAAATCTCAAGAGTACTTCTAAGCAAACTAGATCCTGTGGATGCAGTGCATATATAAAATAGGTTCAAATTACTGTTGCTATTTAAATGAGATTTCTGCAAGACCATTTTGTGTTTCCTCAATATATTGGGAAACATTCTTTATTTTAAGCATTATTTGCAGTTTACTGCAAAATTCTGCAGGGGATACAATACATAATAATCCCCACAATGTAACAAATTTGTGAGTCTGGTCTGAATTACACCACTTCGTGTCAATATAGAAGTCAGCTCAGATTACTTGAGTTACTAACAATTCATACCAAGGAATGACCTCAGGGTGTACATGTAACCACCAGCATATGGCCAAATTTCCTTATCCGCACACACTATTCAAAGCAGAAGAGGTCACATTTAACAATTTAATTAACTGCAGTATCTTATACTCACATTGTGTTGCTTGTTTGTTTTGGAGTAGGGGAAAGACTGGCACAGAGATCTTCTGCCTGTTCACAGATTTCCATTTTATTCTACATAAAAACTTTCATCTGCACTCATATTGGTTTATGTTGTTGCAAACTATGCAGATAAGTAGCGGTCCCATGAGCTAGTCTTGCATCTTTACTCTGCTACACTATCAGTTGCTGAACCAAAATAGGCACCAAATCACTGTATACAAGGTGCAACGTGCTACATTTATTATATTATCTTACAATGTTAACAACAGAGGTAAATAGCTAATCTGAAAAGAGCCAGTTCTCTCATTAACCACATGGTTTCTTTTTATTAAAGACCCATAATAGCAATTTAACTCATTTGTTAGCACTGTTGTCTGCTTCCATCAGCGTGAGCCAATCCACAGGCAGATAGATTAAACTATGACATCATGATGCTTGAATGAGAGATACAAAACCATTTGTTATTTCTCCTCTGTATACTTATTGCAAAAACCCAAGTACATTTACATTTTTAAATAACTAAGGAAATGATAGACCTGTTTTCATACATGACCAGTGAAGAAAGAAACCTAACATACTAGAAATTTGTTTTAGTTAGTTGTTATTACATTTTCCTCAAAGGAGCTCGAGGTGACATAAATGGTTTTCCCCTTTGTCATGTTATCACCCACTGAACTTCATGGCCAATGGGGATGTGAACACTGGTATCCCAGGTCCCAGTACAGCTCTCTAAGCTAAGGTTACCAGATTTTTTTCAATGAATCCAGGAACACTTTTCAACTTCCTACTAAATAGATGGATTTTGTCAGGGGATTTATTTGTAAAGCCGGGGACTGTCCCCAGGAAACAGGGACATCTGGTAACCTTACTCTAAGCACTACACCACATTAGCTCCCATGATTCTAGTCAGGGTTGTCCCAAAACAAAACAAACAAGATGAATTTTAACAGGGAGAAATGTAAAGTCTTGCACTTGGGCAAAAAAAATGAGAGGCACAAATACAAGATGGGTGACACCTGGCTTGAGAGCAGTACATGTGAAAAGGATCTAGGAGTCTTGGTTGACCACAAACTTGACATGAGCCAACAGTGTGACGTGGCAGCTAAAAAAGCCAATGCAATTCTGGGCTGCATCAATAGGAGTATAGCGTCTAGATCAAGGGAAGTAATAGTGCCACTGTATTCTGCTCTGGTCAGACCTCACCTGGAGTACTGTGTCCAGTTCTGGGCACCACAGTTCAAGAAGGACACTGACAAACTGGAACGTGTCCAGAGGAGGGCAACCAAAATGGTCAAAGGCCTGGAAAAGATGCCTTATGAGGAACGGCTAAGGGAGCTGGGCATGTTTAGCCTGGAGAAGAGGAGGTTAAGGGGTGATATGATAGCCATGTTCAAATATATAAAAGGATGTCACATAGAGGAGGGAGAAAGGTTGTTTTCTGCTGCTCCAGAGAAGCGGACACGGAGCAATGGATCCAAACTACAAGAAAGAAGATTCCACCTAAACATTAGGAAGAACTTCCTGACAGTAAGAGCTGTTCGACAGTGGAATTTGCTGCCAAGGAGTGTGGTGGAGTCTCCTTCTTTGAAGGTCTTTAAGCAGAGGCTTGACAACCATATGTCAGGAGTGCTCTGATGGTGTTTCCTGCTTGGCAGGGGGTTGGACTCGATGGCCCTTGTGGTCTCTTCCAACTCTATGATTCTATGAAAACCATGGGGCTGCCCCAACCAGTTGTGTTAAGGAATCCAAGGTGTGTCCCATTACCACTAGATATGTTGCAGAGGCAAGGTATGCTTGGCATTTTCTCTGACACCGCAAAGGATTCTAATATGCATCTCTGACTGCATGTTTTACTGATGCCCCTTATAATGTGGCTATCCCAAGCAAGATATCAAGTTGCTTGTGCCTGTCCCTGAGTCTTGTCTGATACAATGCCTACCTCTGAAAAACAGAGTGCTCTTTTTTATAACACACGGGGTGTTTGTGTGTAGAACACTAAAGGCCCCCAATTCCGTATTGTACAAAACAGAAATCATGAGAAGAGGCCCACACCTTCCCAGAGATTGACTGGGTACATAAGGGGTGAAACAATCTTTCGGGTATCCTGGTCCCAAACTGCATGCACCAAAAAACAGCCCCTTAGCCTGGTAGCTAACTGGCAGCCAACACAATTATTTCAACAGGGAGGTGAAGTGTTAGCAATATACTTCCCCAGGAAGCAGCTGAGCTGCTACATTTTGCACCTGCTGCAGCTTCCAAACCAACCTCAAGGACATAGAGTGCATTGCAGTCATTCAGCCTTCAGGCTACCTGTGCATGGATAACAGTGGTCAGGTGATCCAGGTCCATAAATGCCTGTAATTCTCATACCAGCCTAAGCTGATAGAAGACACTCCAAGTTGCTGAAGTCACCTGATATTCCAGAGACAAAGATGGGTCAAGGAACACCCCCGGACTACAAACCTGCTCTTTCAGAGGGGGTACAGCCCCATCCAAAGCAGGCAATTGACCAATTATCAAGACTTGGGAACCATCTACCCCACAGAATCGCCATCTTGTCAGGATTCAGAGTCAGTTTATTGGCCCTCTTCCCGCCCACCACCAACTTCAGGTCCAAGTCTAGTGCCTACATGGCCTATCCCAATTCAGATGCTACAGAGAAGTAGAGCTGGGCATCATCAGTGTATTGATGACCTCACCCCAAATCTCTTAATGACTGTTCTCAATGGCTTTGTGTAGATGTCAAATGGCATTGGGGACAAGATGGTACTCTAAGGCACCCCACTGATAAGGAGACAATCACCCAATTCTATTCTCTGGAACCTAACCTGGAAATAGGATCAGAACCACTGGGAAACAATGCCTTCACCAATACCCATCCTAAAAAGCTGTTGAGATATCATGTAAGAATAACAGGATCATATTCACCCTGGCCTTCTCCTGATAGCCTCTTAAATCACTTTCCCTAAAGGGGGAGGGTTAATTGTGACCAGGTGGTAGTTGTCACATACCAATGGGAGTGACTGGATCACCGCCCACAAAAATGCATTGATCCTAGACCCACTTGGGGAGATACATGGCTGGCCATGTTGTCACAAGGACCCTGCCTATGACATCAGGCCGCCTCAGGCAAAACTGATCCAAAGACGTTGCAGCAAATGCCACACTGGACACCTCACTAGACACTGCAGTAAGTGTAGATGTGGTATTCTAACTGCTACGAAGGCAATATTACCTTTGAAGTGCATTGCAAACAATTCACATCGGTGTAAACATACTGACCCAATGACATCTACATGCAGTGGAGTTGATCTGCATGGAGATTGGTCATTTCTGTTTGTTTCATAACTTGGTTTTGAACTGCACTCAGCAGAGCATAAGAAATTATCTTTTCTTTCCCCTGCAGACATTGACTTTGTCAAATGATTTTAATTTTCTTTTTGCGATGATTTATTATTCATTGGGGGGTGCTTTAAGTTTCAGATTCAATGAAACATAGTCAGGCTTTAATTGTCTTTCTGTCTCGTTTCAGTTTGCACAATCTCCCCCCCCCCGCCCCTTTTTTTTTTAACAAACAACAGATGCTACTGGAATTCTCTGCCTATGTATTCTTTAAAGGAACATTCTTTAACATTTCTACCCTCTCTTTTGCAGTATCTGAGAACCACAGGCTGCTGACTCCTCTCTGCGCATGTTTAATCGACCACTATGGTTGTCATGCCAACCAGCAAAGAGAATTCTAAGCCTACACTTGGTATTTCAATGCAGTGACCCAATTACTGTCTGTCAACAAATTCACTGGGACAATAGCAAGTGTAACACATTATTGAGATTAAATCCCAGAGACTGAACTATAAAATGTCTGGAACCAAAATCTTAAATCAGTTTCACAAGGCAAAACACTATAAACAGAGTTAGCGGTAATGCCTTCTAATCCTTCAAATGTAATAGTTGCTCTTAAACAGCTTTTTTAAAAAAATCAAATAATGATCTCTGCCCTGTGTGCTTTTTTGGTAGCGCTCAAAAAAACCCATCCCACAACTCAAATTTTGTAGTATTTATGTGGCCATTATGGTTTGAAATTTGGAAATATTTAATATATTTTAATATACATTTGTAAAAAGGAAATATTTAATCGACACAAATTTTCCTCCATGAAAACAGTAGTTGAAGATACACATTAAATGTTTCAGTTTTGCACAATGTAGCTGTGAGGATGAGCACTGCAGAAATGAAATCACAGACACTGTGTCTTCATGCTTGGTAAGAAAAAACTAAATGAGCACTATGGATAATTATAACAACTGTTTTCTACAGTGTTCTGAAACAAATAAGAGCAAAGGAGATTTTTCAAGCTGAAGCACTCTCTACTTTTCATTTAACAACCTCTTCAGCATCAATGTGCTGTCCTACACTTCCATTGTTAACATCTGCAGATGGATTGTTCTGATATAAATAATTCAGCTGAAAAACATCATAGTGGAACATGAACTCGACACTGGCATAAAGCCAATCCCACAATCATATGAATAAAATATATTAACATATCACTGTTTCGACGCACAGCCATATCATCAGAGACCCTGGCGATACCTCCTACCAATCCAGAAAGATATATTTCACACATTATATGCAATTATACACAGAGCAGTCAGTGTGGTATAGTGGTTAAGAGTATGAGCTTAGAATCACCAGTCCAATTCCAACCTCAGCTGTGAACTCATTGGGTTGCTGTAGGCAAAGCACTATGTCTCAACTGCAAGATAGGTCAGGATTATCAACCCTATTTTACCAAAGTGTGATAAGGATAACTGACTTAATGCACATGAAGTTCACAAACTCAGTCTGTGGCACCTCTGGTCAAAAAGGCTCCAATAATAGGTGATGGGAAAGACCTGTCTCTGCCAGAGTCCCTGAAAAACAACTGCCAGTAATGTTGGGCAAGATGAACAAATAGTCTGACCAGGCATTCCTATGCTATATAAAAGGTTATTATTAGTAACTATCACTGATATTCCCAATCTCTGTGTATTATTAGGTGGCAAAAGCTGAACTCTTACAAATATGATGGTAGAAAAGAAAGTTATTTTATTTCATTTTTGTCCAATCATTCTTTTCAATGAAAGTAGTTCTTACTGCAGGATCACTCAACCAGGAAATCAACCAATTAACATTCTAAGGAACTTGTGGTAGCAAAATGAATTAAGTAGCACTCTGCCTCATCATCACTTTCTCCTGGTAGGTGGGGAAAAAATAGACGTTAAATTGCTTTGATTAAAACCCAGGTGGAAAAGGTGTGTCATGCCCAGGAAAATGTAGCATACAGGTCGAAGAACATAGCCACTGGCAGAAATCAATTAAAGTGCAAAGCATTAACATGTGAGATAAATCTCTCACTTGTCTGTAATGTATTTGTTGGTGGACAATGAAGGAAGCTGAGCAATATGTAAAACTAAATATAAAAGTGAATTCCAATACGAATATTCCCAAAATTGGAAACAATTAGCATGAGTGTTGTTAAATCAGGACAAGAGGCTAGGTAATATGTTTTAAAGATGCACCCATGTGGAAGGCGCAGCATTATTTGCTTTTATTTATTTTAAAAACAGATATTATTATTATTATTATAAATCACCCATAATCCAAAACAGATTTCAGGGCAAATAATGCAAATAAATTTTAGATTACAAAAACACTATCACACAAACCAACAACACAATCAGATTATAGGATTTTTGTTTTACTTAGCAAATCCAAATAAAGCAGCTCAATGAACAACAATAAAAGTGATGCAAGTGGAACACAAGCAGACGTGTGGTGGCTCTCCACATGTGTCTGCTAGGTAGAAGTCCTGGAAGTGTGCACAATACAATTAGTTCCTGGGGGAACATGTTCTGAGAGGACAAGTTCACTTCTCTGATGGCAATCTAGTTGTCCTGGAGATTCTGAGAGAGTCAAAGAGGTTGGGGGATCAGGCCTTCATGGACATGTTAGCATCATCCAACTCCTAGGGTGAAATCTCCTCTGTTTTCATAGAGAAGGAGGGTAATGGGCAAAGAGGGTGTCCCTCTCTGAAAAGAGGAAGAAGCAAATGATCACTTAGAAAGGGGCAAAGAGATGTTCTCTCATGCTGAGGATAATCCCAGGGGATTTCCTGGTAGTAGTTGATTTGATAATAAGGGACATAGCTAGATTTGTGATGGGCATGGTGACTGCTTGGTGCGGAAGTTGTGGGTGTCATGCATCATCTAGATAGCCTATTAGATGAATCTGGGCAGGAGTCAGGGGTTGTGGTGCATGTTGGCACCAAAGACATGAAGAGATGTAGTCTTGCAGTCCTGGAAGCAAACTTTAGATTGTGAAGTAGAAGGTTTAAAGACAGGTGATTTATGGTTAGCTCTCTCTCTCTCTCTCTGTTTTGCTGTTGTTGTTCTTATATTCATTACCCGCCCTGTACCAGCAGGTCCCAGGGCAGGCTACAAAAAATCTGTATTAAAAACAGACAAAGCAGATGACTACAGTTCAATACTCTAGACAGGTAGGCAAAGCTGAGGAGCCCTAGTACTTGGCTGGGAGAGTGCTGTTGGGAGGAAGAGTTTCAGAACAAACTGAGCCTGGACAAAAGGGTCAGACTCCACTTGAACCAGAGTGGAATTAGATTGCGGGTGCTTAAAATCAAGAAGGTTGCAGAACAGCAGTTAAAGTGATCCCTGGAAGAAAGCCAACAAGAGCTGAGGATCATTCAGTTTAGGATGAATCATCCCAAAGGGATGAGAGTGAAAATTATCAACATCATTATTTACTACTACTACTACTAAATCACCCTCCCTCCAGAGCTTGCAGGGCAGTATAAAATACAATAAAAATCTAAACATCTGAAAAATTAAAATCTGTTATATTCCATTAACTAATCAGCACACTCAGTTTCAAAGTACCAAACCATTGGCAGCACTACTACCAAAGCCTCCCATATCGATTTCAGGGCCTGGGAAGGGGCATACGAAACAAGACACTCCATCGGGTTTCTCAAGCTAGGGGTAAACTGTAAGGAGGCAAACTTTGCTGCTGACACAAAATTCCTTGGGATGGCAAAAACAAACCAGGATTGTGAGAAGGTCCAAAATGATTTCCAAAATGGCTGAAAGTGAATTAAAATGACAAACGCAGTTCATTGTAATCAAGAGTGCACATTGAGGCCAAATAAAATATTGTTATGAGTTTGGGGGTGCCAGCCTCCCTTAAATTCCTAGATCTGGTAAATGCTAGAATTTAATCAAGCCTCCTGAGCCCCTGGATCCAGCAAGGGTTAAAATATAAGCTCCGCCAGTTCCCTGATGAGGCAATCGCCTGTGAGATGAGCCATTAAGAAAACAAAGGAAAGGTAATAACCTATTGAGAAAGCCAAGGAGAGGGGGCTCTGTGCCTGATGGCAAAAGGGTGGGGTCCTTCCTCCAGCTCAGAGTTTGTTAGGAAGGGGTTAGATGTGATGTGATTTAAAGGGGGAAAGGTTGCAGGTTGGTAAGGGCAGCAAACTAGACAGAGAGGCAGAGCACGTTGGATTATTTCTGTTTAAATCCAAGGCTGCAGCTATAGGGAAAACAAGATCCTCTTGGGGTGCTTGCCCCCCCTCCATTGTAGGCTCAGGTTGTACATATGTGTAAATAAACCATATATCATAGACATCACAGTCTTCGCTGTGTCTCATTTCCTAAAGGAAACCTGGGTAAGTACCTGGAACCCCTGGAATCTCACACCGCTTGGAGACTGGGGTGGCATGCAACAATACTAACTTGTATTTGAACTGATGCTTGACCGACCAAGAAAGACAGAGCAGCTGTGACTTTACTCTCATTTCTATTGTCCTTCTTCCTTGTTTTGCTTCTCCTTTCGCCAGTTACAGCTGTACTACCTGTTATCAAGCTATTATGTTACTAATCATTTATTGAGCACTCTTAATGTGGAATGTGCTCTACCGGCTTGAGTTTGTTTCCATAGAAACTCAGTAAGTTTTACTGCTATACATATTTCACAGGCAGGAAATAGAAAAAGCTAAGGTGTACCCAAAGCCACCAGATCCAATTCATGGCCAAGCAGGGATCTGAATTCAGGTTCAAGTTGAACCATTTGCCCCCTTGGTTACTGTTCAATCTGCCTGCCCCACTTGCACCTAGCTGAAGCCACGTTCCCTTGGTCAACAACATATTGTTAACACTAAGCAACTAATTACATGTTGCATTAATAACATGATAAACAATCATATCGGTACTGTATTTATTTATTTTTACAATTTCAGTATCAGGCATAGTGGGGAAGCAATTGTCATTAGTAAAATTTGATGACCTAAAGAAATGCAATTAAAATGAATGAAAATGTGAAATATAGATGGCTATGCAATTGTTTCCAGCCTAATCTATGATTTAGTTTTACTAAACAAAGCTAGGTTTTAACATATTTAATACTAATAACTTCAAATACAGACAGAAAGAGACTTAAACCCAGCTACTTTGGTTTAACAAATTTTCTATTTGGGTTATTTCTGTTATTGTGCATTTAGCAAAATAAACAATGCATTGTTTTTCAGCTCACTTTAACTTGACTCCTGTTGGAAAGCTGTCTTGCTATCTGACTCCAACCACAGTTCGAGATAAATCTGCAAGAAAGCATCTAAAAAGCATTGCCGGGGGCTAGTTGTGTTCACAGAGAGGGTTCAAAGGTTGCAGAGGCTTAGTACATGAGGATTAAAATATATGCCATCCCCAGTTCTCTTTTAATATTTATGAAGCCTTCATAGAACAGAAATGCAACCTAATTGCTTAATTCTTAGTGACAACAGTCATTCAGGCAGCCTGATCAGTTGCAGGCTCAAAGACTACAGAGATCTGCCAAAGAATGGTCACAGCTCCAGCAGATGGCTCTGCTATAAACTGCTTGTTCTTCTCCCACACATGGAGTGGGGTGGGGGAGGGATGGGGCATGCTCTGTGATATCACCATGTCAGTCAATTTGCTTAGCCCAAGTTTGAACTTAACCTCATGAATAGTGGAATTAGGGCATTTGTGCTCTGTTGCCCAAACGACAGGCAGCCAAAGTAACTCTTTACAACCCTGTGTCTCAGATAGCACACTC